TAGTTTAAGCAATTGTGATGTAGGTTGTTCCCATGATGGGCTCAGATGTATACGTTTTGAGCACCCAATCTGTTGAAAGAGAGTTTCTCTAGGGGTGTGGCCTGCTTCCAGTATATTTATGGACATCCTTGGAAAAGAGACACTCTTCTGCGGATTGAGATCCTTTTGTGCTGTCAACAATTGTCCGTAAACAAACAATCCACCATTCAGCCTGGAGATCTTGGATTCATCATTCGTTGGACTCAACAGCTAGTACTGCCTACCAACCTTGAGTTCTTCAGCCTCTTCAGCTGCATGAGTCTGGAAAAGCCTGCAGCTTGACACTTGATCCAAGAACTTGGAACTTGCCAACACTCAGTGTGTGAGCCATTCTCCGACGATAAACTTCTCTTTCTCTATATATAAGCTATATTGGTTTTGCTTCTCTAGAGAACCCAGCCTAACACACAGATGTTCAAAGATCAGATTTATAAAGATGCTGAAAAGGAAAAACAATAATAATAAGAAGAAGTATTCAACTTACATCAGAACCAACTTACAACAGAGTCATCAGAATGGAACCTGAGTTGGGACTACCTGTATTTAATAAAAAAAAAAAAAAAAATGCAACTCAGGAGCTAAAAAATGCAATATTTGAAGTAAAAACAAAATAAAACAAATAAACAAAAAATACTGGACTAACTTTAAAGCTAATTAGTCACTTCGAAACAAAAGATCAATGACATTGAAGACATAGCAATTGAAATTGTCCAAATAGAGGAACAGAAGGAAAAAAAAGGCTGAACAAAAATAAGCAGTACCCAAGAGACCAGTGGAACAGTCTCAGGAGATCAATCATTCCTGAGATTGGAGTCTTAGGAGAAAGGGGAAGAAAACAGACAACAACAACAAAGAAGAAAATGAAAAACTATTATTGCCTAAATATTCCAACATTGATGCAAACTATATACCCACAGGCCCAAAAAGCTCAACACACCTCAAACAAGTTGAATAAATAAAAAATATACCATGCATATCTTACTCAATTCTTTTAAAAAGAGATAAGAGAATATATGAAAAACAGCCACAGAAAAAGACATAATAGAATTCATGAACTACAAGACAAATTATCACTGACTTCTCATTAGGCATAATGGAGGCCAGAAGGTAAAAGATTAACATCTTTAAAAGTGCTAAAAGAAAAAGCAAACCTGACAACCTAGAATTACATCCAATGCAAAGATTCTTCAAAATAAAAGTAGACAAAAAAGATAAATTCTGTCAGTCAAAACTGAAAAAAAAAAATTGATGTCAGCTGACCTGTGCCATAGATAATGTTGAAGAAAGGTCTTTAGGGTAACGGAAAATACCAAAGGGAAATGCAGATCTTTAAAAAGAAGTGAAGAAAGCTGTGCATAAGTATCAAAGAGTATTCATTCTCAGTTACAACATGGTCTTAAAAGAAAATTGACTGTGACTTCCCAATAATTATTAGCTGCAGTCATCCTGCAGTTTCCACCCTTTTCTTCCTCTCCTACTCCAGCTCTCACAGGTTCACATTTATAAAGGGTAAATCTACACATCTCTTTCTTCAATTCTGTTTTTGACCTTTACACAGATTTTTGAAGTAGTTTACTTGTTCCCAAATTATCACAAAATTTCACTCTGTAGTTGTATCAGGTTCTGGACAGTATACTTTGCATACAGCTTAAATAAATTTATTAAAGTACAGTTCAGTACAGTTCTACCTCTAATTCCTCTAGTGATGGTAGTGTAAATAAAGACCTAAAGGACTGGGTGAAGTCTATGTTCTGATAATAACTTCATTGTCCTCATTAACATTTGGAATATTGAATCTCACATGAATAAAGTGAATGCTTATAAACACTAGGTGACATAATGGTGGAAGTGTGATCAGCATTATCAATGGTTGATTTCAGCTAAGCTTCTCATACAATGCCTTTTATACTGTTGTAGTTAATTTTAACTGTCTAAGTTATGGTTTCCAGTGGTTTTTTTCAAACACTAGTTTAAATTCTTGGAAGGAAGGTTGGACTATCTACTTTCGTAGGGATAAACCAAACCAAACCAAACACGTGGCCATCAAGTCGGATCCAACTCATAGTGACCTCTTCTTGGGTTTCCAAGGTGGTATCACTATGGAAGTAGATTGCCCAACCTGCCTTCCAAGGAGTGGCTGGTGGGTTTGAACTGCCAGCCTTCTGGTTAGCAGTCAAACGCCTTAGGCATTACAACACCAGACCTGTTCCTAAGTGATACTGTCTCTGAAACCCAAGAAGGGGTTGCTATGAGTTGGATTCAACTCAATGGCACTGCGGTTTGGGGGAGTTTAGATGCTGTTCCATGATGTAATCTAATATAATCAATCCACCAGTGAAAAGGGGAGTTTTCATAGGGTGTGTTCTGCCTCCAAGTTGTAAAGAGATATTTTTGCACAACTTGCTTTCTCTTCACTCTATACTCTTTCCATCGCAATAGCTAGCTATCTAGCTATACCCAGGGAAAGCTAATTCTCTCACTATCTAGCTATTACCAAGGAAAAAGTACAAAGTGTAGAGAGGGAAAGTTGTGTGAGAATATCTATTTGTAATCTAGATAGCTAATCTAGCCAGATTACCAGATCACTGGATTGTTAGATCAATAGCAATGCCTACCAACCTATCCATCACCTACTTAGCCACCTACCTACATACCGACATCTATCTCATTAGTTCTGTTATCTAGAGAAACCTAAGTAAGATATATCTAATATTTTTAGCAATTTTCAGCCAAGGTGAGGAAATATATATATATATATATGTGTGTGTGTGTGTGTGTGTGTGTGTATAATATATATAATATATATTATAAACATACAGGAGCTCTGGTGGCCTAGTGACGAAGGCATTTGACTGCTAACCTGAAGGCTGGCGGTTCAAACCTACCAGCCACTCCTCAGAAGGATGATCAGGCAATCTACTTCTGTAGTGATACCACCTTGGAAATCCAAGGAGGGTCACTATGAGTCAGATCTGACTCATGGGCAGTTGAGTTTAGTTTTTTTTTTTGTTTGTTTGTTTATATATGTATGTAATTATTTCTGGGAAAAATCACACAATCAGGAGTGATGTATATAAAAATACATTTTATTCTTTAATCTCAATTCAGCAAGTATTTGGAGCTCACAAAATGATTTTGATTATCCTGGAATCCAAATCTGTGAGTTCATGGAATTGGGGTGATTAATGCCAGCTATCCACTCTTTGAATTTTGAAGGAACTGTTCCCTGGAGTCACATTCAGGTCAAACAATAACTTAGAAAGCAGCTTACCTGTTTGGCCTTAGGCACCGGTTTTGTGTGTGTGTGTGTGTGTGTGTGTGTTGGTGTGGGGGAATTATCTATGAGCAACTGGCTTTGAGAAGCAGGAACTCCAGAGTCTGAGTAAACCAAAACAAACCCATTACTGTCCAAATTCATTGTGAGCCAATAGGACAGACTAGAATTGCCCATAGGGTTTCCAATACTGTGATCTTTATGGAAGCAGACTACCACATCTTTCTCCATGACTGGCTGGTGGGTTTAAACTGTCCACCTTTTGCTTAGCAGCTGAGTGCTTCACCACTGCACCATCAGAGCTGCTTAGGGTCTGACTACAGGCTGTGTTTCAGGATGTCTGATATGCCCTGGTGATTCTGTTTCTGTAACCAAAGGCCCTGAAACCCTGCCCTGTGGTTTGATGCTATCGCTTGAGAAATTAAAAATGATCTATGTAACAAGCTTTCACTCTTCCCTCTTGGGAGCTCTTTCCCAATACTGGGCTTGACTCTGCCCAACTCAAATCATATCTACTCACAATAAATATAGTCTGTTATAAAAATTTGGGGTGTTTCTCTGCTCATTTAGGTTTTTGACAGAGCTCTAAGTAGATACCCTTGAAAACAATTTCCTTCAATAAATCAGTAATTGACAAAGACAGAAAAGTTATATAAACTTCCTATTGGATTTATATCAGTTGAACTTTGATATATACAACTTTGGGTGAATTAATATCAATGTATTCACAACTGAAGATCAAAGACTTGGAAAGACTAATGCACATGGTACTGGTGATCAAAGGCTCTGATAATTCCAGATATCCCAGTGACCTATGGGATTTTGTGAGAATAAATCAATTATCATCTGTGATTCTTTTTTTATGCTTCTTTATAATGTGAGTTACAGCCTAGATCAGTAGTTCTCACCTTTTAGGTTTCATGAAATGTTGAAAAAAGTTGAGAGTTAAAGCAATTTGGCATTGTCAGCTTTTCTTTATGCACAAGGACATAAAATTTACAAACTACAAACTTCCATCTCTAGTTATTTCACTAAAAAGAACATTTTAACAACATAAGTGTCAGCAGGGTAAATTAAAAATAAAAGAAGCCTTTCAAATAAATTATATGTGTGTGTGTGTATCCAAGATAAAAATTATCTTCTTTTTTTTTTATTTTCTTCACAGACTAGTAAAAATTTCACAAAAATCTAAAATCCCTTGGATCTTTGCTTAGAAATTATTGAATTAAGTGGTTTGTACAGTCCTTTTCAACCATAAAAATCTATGGTCTATGTTCTTTTTATTTCTATGAATGTGTAATGTGTATGTGTAATGTAAATATAGGTAATGGTAGGTAGTATTATGCTAATCAAATGTAATATATTAAAGTCAATATAATTTTGAAAAATGTGAAAATACAGTTTTTGTAAGAGTACAGGAAACTATTTCCCAATGGTCTGTGTAATAATTTGCCACAATGGATTTTAACACAGACTAAAATACTTTTCTTAAAAAAGTTCCTGTGGGAAATGACAGCGTCATTTGGATCTATTAAAGCATCACTCTGATTGCACAAACATAAATGAGAAGTTACACTGTGGTAATACCAGCCTTTATCTTGGAGACCAAGAGTCATTTTGCAAATTTGTGGTATCACTTCCCTAAACAACTCAGGACTGAACTACACTTCAGTTCCTCAGTTCTACATTTTTGCAGCAACAAGAAACACAGCTCCTGGCTGTTTTTAAAGCATTGCTAAAAGTTAACTTTTCACTTTACCACGCATAAAAGTAAAATGGCATTAACAAGTGAACTAGACAAGGAGGTAATAAATTAGACTTCTTTTCATTTTAGAGAGAGAAGATGGAAACAGCATTGGTTTTCTTTTCTCAATTAAGTATGTGTGAATCAAAAGAAAAAACTTTTTTTGAGTTAATGCATAGTTCAGGAAAAGAAGAAAAAAACAAAGAGGCCAAAATCAGGTAAAGTTATTTTTTGTCTTCTGTGTTTTAAAGCATAATTGATGTCAAAATGTGTTAGTAATTGTTTTGGAAATATCTGGTTGGAATTGGAGATAAAAGAAATTTCATTAATAAAGTAAAACAACAGTTAAATCTAAAGTGCTTTCATTACAAAAAGAAAAAAAAAGTAATAATTATGGCTAGATAGAACAACTGCTAACAAAAGCTTTATTGAAATACATTGACAAATATTTTATTGCTATCAAGGAAAAGAGAAATGTATTTGCTATGATAATCCCTCCACATACATAGTATTTTGGCACGTTTCTCTAGACAAAAAACAGGTGAGTGTGAGTATAAGTGTGAATATAGAGATGTTCAGGTGTTTGTAGTCAGAAGGAGAGATTTCACTATTCTCTAAATTATCCTGAAGTTGCTGTATTTTTATTACAGATCTAAGGAAAAAAGAAATAGGCTAAGTCTCCTCCTGCTAAAACATGAGTTTCATGAAGAAAATCATTCCAGTACATCTGGGCACTTGGCCAAAGACACAAGGTGAATAACTTCCTGTTCTTTTTTGGGGAAAATTTTGCTGATTCTATCATTAAAACTTTAAAAAAAAATAAAATTAGTACTTCTATTTTACTGGAAATTATATAGTAATATAAGTAAAGTTAGAGATCTCATTCCAAGAAACTAGGAGCATTTCATAAAATTAAGCCATTTTAGTAGCTTGAATTAATAATCATATAAAAATTTAAAGGCACTCTTAAAATTATATATCTGACAATTTTAAATGATATATTTTACTCCTTATAAACTGATGAAATACTCATTAATTGAAGAGTTTTCCCATTCAGTATGATAGTAGAAAAAAGTTATTAATCTTTTTCCTCAGTTGTTGTTGTTGTTATGTGCCATCGTAGTTTGGAAAAATGGCCTATGTATAGGAGGGTGTAAAATTCTAACAATTCCTAATTTACAATTTTTAGTCAGTTTTAATTCAAAATGTAAACAATAGCCATACGTACTAAATAATACAATTCTTTCACATTTGAAATATGACAAATAAAATAACTAAGAAAAATGTATTCAACTATAAATTATCAATATTTCTACAAAAATATTTCTTATTCCTTTTAAACTTTATTAGTCAAACTTCCTGTATCTGCTAAAAAAATATTTTTTGCAGTATATTGTGGTAAGAGCTTCAAGGAAATTGCAAAAAGAAAAAAAAAAATCTTTGACTGAAAGATACTGTCAGCTTAAGTTCTTCGATTTGCTGAATTTTAAAACATAGTTGACCTGATTTCTTTTTCTTAGCTTTTTGTACTTTTTGATATAATACATGATTAATTCTTCATTAATATAAAACAATTTAGACACACATGAGACAATATTTAATGTTATTTTAACATATTAATAAGTTGTTAGATAGGCAAGGTGCCAAAAGAAATTTAATCAATGTGATTGAAGCTGCCATTGCAAATATAACTTTCATTTTATAATAATGAAAGGTGAAACCCTTTGGCAATAAAAAAGGTGAAACCCTTTAAAATATGCCTGAAAAGAGCAGTACCATAATAAATGTTAGAACAGATTCATGAACAGACTTACTGCACATTTCATCATCAAACATTTTGTTCCTTGAACAGAGTCTCCCCTGAAGTGGCAATGAAATGGGGTGAATCATTTGACAAACTGCTTTCCCATAAAGGTTAGTGATATCTTCTCCCAAATACTTTATTTCTTAACAGGAAATTATACAGCATATATATATATATA